ACCCTCTCTTCAGGTTTCTCGATCTTGACATACAGTACCTTTTCAAGGCTTGTATTTCATGTCATTAGAACGTTGCACCTCAATATTGTCCATGACCAGAGTCATTTTCGTGTTTATAGTGTTACCAAATGGGGTCAGTTGATGAGCGATCATCAGTACAGAATATATTATGGAATGCCCTCATCGCGTGCTATGAGAACATAGTGAGACGGAAATGAGAGAAGTAGTGCTGGTTCCACAGAGATACTGGGCATACATCGACGCACTGAACCCTTCATAGTATATGTGGCAACCCTAAAGTATGATCCCGGTCATGTTATCCTCCATTCCCCTGGGGACAAGGGCCGGTATATAGACTCAGGAACCAGATTAGCCATGCTCTCCCTAATGTGCAGAATTTCTCCTTATGGTTTATGCTCAACATGCATTTGAAGTAGGGTAGTTTTCATCATCAGATGACAATTAGAGTTCCTATACTATGCATAATGCTACTTTCGACACGATGATTTTGTTCTTAATTACGGCGTAATCGTTTCAATTGAATTGCGAGAGAACCGAAATTTGGAAATAATATTTCTTTTTAAAGGTACGCCAGAAGGGTTTTTGTAGAGGGCACAATACTCGAGCATAACACAATGTAAATTTCTGTTATTCTGTTTGTTTCGTTTTTGTTCAACTAAATATTTTCCGATCATATATTCAAACAGTACAGCAATTTTAAAATATACTTTACAAAGACGAAACCGTGGGTGATTTTGAACAATGTCCATGAGGAGCATGGTGTCGACTTCCATTGGGGTTGACTTTTCTTTTGATACGACCATTTTTAATCGTATCACTGCTGTTAGTAACAAAAGTTTAAAAGTTCAGATACCCCAAAAACCACGAGGTATGTGCTGAATGCTGAGTAAGAGATATTATATGATCAAGGAGGTACAGCATTTTCATCAACAAAATACTCAAAAAATTAGTACTTAATAAAAGAACACAGTAATGTTTCCTCTAAGAAATTACTCAGGTAAAATAGCATTCAACTGTGTCATAAAAGATTTGGTACACAGAATGGCTTCATCATATGCATTGATTTTTTTTTCTTTTAAACCTTGTGCTGCAAGGTCAGGACTTTTTCACCAAGTTTTGTCTCTATGAGCTTTGAAAATAAAATAAAAACTGATTTTTGAACCAAGGACTATGTTGAGAAAAAGTCCAATATATTTTTTATAATCTTGCAGAAAATGTTGCCTAAAAAAACAGTAAATCCACATTGGGTGGCATTTTTTCATGCATTCCCAGCAAAGAGTTAATATTGGGGATTTTTTTAGACAACAGGATTTTCTGCACCATGATTTTTCCCAACTTAGGCCTTGGCAACCTGGGGGCATTTCAGTGACCTGTGACCTGAAATGCCCCTCAATAAGGATGAAATGAAGGCAGACCTCTCTCTTCACAAACACAACTTCTATTCCTTTCACACAGAGTCAATAACGCAATAGGATATGGTCAGAGGATTAGGCAAGTTGCTTGGTCAAGAGCTCAAGTTGGAGCATATCAGTGACCTGTGAACTGAAATGCCCCTCCTCCAAAAAAAATCTTGACTTTGCCAAAGGATGGCCGGGAACAACCCTCTGCCATCTGAGGGTTAATCAGTCAAGTTCCAGGTAATCTGAGGCTTTATTGCATTACAAATTTCCATAAATGCATTTTTATCCTTGTTCCACCTATTTGGCTCAATTATCATAGAAAAGGTATAGAACACTTACATCACTGGTGATGTTTGCCACTTGGGATGAGAATGCGGTTGTTGATGAAAGTGGCTGAATCCCAGTGGAAGACCTGTATGGAGACAACCCTTGGAATCAATGCCATGTCAATGTCAAGAAATTCTGAAGTTGGGCTACACCAAAAAAATCTGCAAGATGGGTGACTCATCTCTCAAGTGCAGAGCAGAAAGCTGCCAGGGTGCCTTTTGCAAACATCTTCTGTAAAATATGTGGAACAGGGCTGCATTTTTCTTCTTGTGCCAAATAACTTTTCTGAAGAAGTACATTCACTTCTGCTCAACTGTATATGCCGTTTCAATTTCTATTTGAATTTTATTGCACCCCTCATATACTTATTAGAACAATGTTCCCTAACCTTTATTTGGGCCTACCAACCAGAAAATTTGCAGACTGACAAATTTCCCAAAAATTGTGTGTCAACCAGCAAAGTTTCACAAAATTTTGGTAGGCTCAAAAAGATTTTGCTTGAGAGAAGTTATGACAGGCATTTAAAAATGTTATGCTTTTTTGTAAAAAATTAAGATCCAATGAGGCAGCTACATCAGTGAAATGTCTTCAGAAAATTATAAAAAGAGAGGCTTGAATGGCATCTCAGAATAAGATAAAATTAAAATAATTTACTTCAGCAGGTGAAAATTTGTCCAAAGCATTATTAAGAAAAAAACCAAGTTCCATGTGTTCATCAGATAATTTTAACTGCCATCTTCTTCCCAAAATTTCAGATAAAGATAACAGGCCATTTCTGATAAATTTATCATGCTGCAAAAAATTCCCCATGGCCCAGCAAAAGATTTATGCAGACCAGCGCCAGTCCATGGCTTTGGGAACATTGTACTGTATTCGAATACTGTACCCATCTCATATCAGATTTTGACATCTCGTATCACCCTATTCGACTCAAATTTCCCTCCATAAAAAAAAGAGAGAAGAGTGCCGCACAGGGCGGGGGAGGCGTAGGAGGGCGTCGCTGCTGCCTCCTTATGCAAAGGCGAAACACATTGATTCCTGCGTCTGTAGTATACTGTAATGTACACCTTCCCCCCCCCCCCCTCACATTTTATTTCCAAATTCGAAGAAAGAGGGTTCTCGGAAATTGGAAGAAAAGAAGTTGAGAATAACTCAGTCCCACACTTGTTATCCCGGAATTCGGATGGTTGACCTTCGAAAATCCGCGTGCGCCTGCTGTCGCACGTGGTGCTGCCGATGCATACTACGCAATTTCACCCCACGCTGCGCACAAAAGCGGATAATTGAGTTGTCCCGCTGCACCCATGCAGCCCCGGGAACTGAAGCTGCCTTTGCTGCTATTATACAGTGTGCAGATATAATAAATGCAACGAAAACTTGTTGCAATGAAAATATTGGGACCTTTGCACATACAAAAAAAAGACCGATTTGTTAAAGCAAAACAAATTCTTCATAATAAACTTCATGATGAACAATTCATTCTAAACTTAATGATGAAAAATTCATTCTAAACTTCACCATGAACAATTCATTCTAAACTTCACGATGAACAATTCATTTTAAACAAAACATTGATGTAAGCGTATGTCTTCTGAATATAGACTCTACAGTAGAATAGAATTCAAGTTATCAATGAAATCAAAGTAAACTGAATTAGTCTACGCCGCTTATAGCAAAAATATCTGCCTTGACAAACAATATTCCATTGACAACTTTTTTGAATGGATGCAGTTCAATTCAAGGGCAAAGCAAAATGTGTTCCTCTTCTTGTATTGATGTCACTATACACTCCTTTGCATATTACATTTTTTTCAGCATGTTATGTCCAAGGGCTTTGTCACTGGCTTGCCCTGGAGAAGTTTGCATTTTGCATATGTACCCAAGCAATAAACTATGTATTAGATTTGTGATTTCTAAAATTATAAATATCTATATTTCTCCTCCCTTCAGAAATAGACAATTCAGCAAGTGACAACGTGTCATCACTGATCTGGTGATTCTCCAAGAAAGATTCACTTGTCATTTTCTTTCAGATTTGTTTCTGTAAGTATAAAGTTCATAAGATTAATCTCTGGTTCTTATTAATTTCTCCACAAAAGGTAATTCAGCCTACTAGTACACATTTGCACTCCAGTGTTGGAGAACTGAATACCCTTTGCAAGAGGTATCCCTGAGCAAGCTGTTGCTTTCACAAGGTTCAGATGGGTTTTGAGGCTGGGGGATCCTGGTATCTACAGATGGGTTTTGAGGCTGGGGGATCCTGGTATCTACATATGGGTCAGTATTTGCAGTGAAGAGAATTTAGTTATGTAAGCAGTAACTTTCCCCAGGCTAATGGTGCCCTTGCCTGGGGGTATGTTACAAAGCATAACTGACTGTTTCCCCTTTGTACTTGTCTGTCTGTTATTCCACTGTGAACATTAACTGTGTGTACTTAGCCATACATATGAGCCACTGAGATTCAACAAGGAACAACAAGATATAATTTTTTTAAATTCTCTGGCATTGCTACAGTTATTTCTGTTTCAGTATTTTGAAAGATGACTACTGAGAATAAGAAGGTCCAAAAAATTGAAATTCAACATGTACATACTGTACATATTTACTGACTTTAGGAGTGGAAAAAAATAAAAGGGGTTAGAAATGCAGACTCAGGAGAGAATTTAGCATATATATTACAACAGATTTTGTCATTCAAACTGTGTTTTGGACCACTTGGGTGGCAGACATTTCTAATGTTCTCCCGAATTGTAAGGGAGGAAAGAGAGTTATGGAAAACCAGGTGTGTCCAACCAATTTTTTTTTTGTTTAATCTGAAAACGCCCATGTGAAATGAACTAGATTCATTAACTAATTGTCAGATATATGTAAACCTGCGTTTTACTGCAGTTTTCTTCAGAAGAACCATGTTCAGATCTGAACATCATGAAGACTCCTCTCAGTTGAAATTTTGCCACGCATCAAAACTTAGGCATTTTCGAATGAACGTCTCATCAATGTGGACCCGGGGTACTTAAAATTCCATTTTATTTCGTATCATCGGAACTTCGTTCAGAATTATGGAAGCAACTGAAAGATTCCTTCGCCAACATTTTGTTTTACTCAATAAGCTGAAATACAGAACATGTAATTTTACAGGGTCAGCATTTCCCCCCTTATTCCTTGATTTCCCTGTCGTAGGCAAAACGGAAGACGCGGGACTACATAAAAAAAATGGAGGAATGCATGCTCAAAGGGAGGCCCTCATGAAGAGATTCTGAAGGGCGGGAATGAAGGCAAATAGGATATTCAACAGCAACAACGACAACAATAAATAAAAAAAAGTCCGTGAAGGTTGTCGCCAGCTTAATCAAATCTCTCTAGAAAGCCACCTGAACCTGACACTGCACTAACTTCCGCAGCACGGAGCCAGTGACCTCGAAAATTACCCCGGTGCGCACTAAATTTTCCGAGCCCGCACCTTTTCATCTCTATATAGTCAGTCGGCATCGGGTCGGGAAAGGGAGATTCCGTCGAGATTATTCGGCTTAATCCGACTAATCACTTCGCGCTTCGGAGATTTTTCGAGTTTGAAAGAGAGAGAGAAAGAGAGGGAGACAGAGATAGAAAGAGAAATAAATTGCATACATGCGGGGTTCCGGACCGGATGCCATGTCGTCGACTGACGAGTGGGACGACGACCACTTCCGGGTCACGGCGGAGAAGATGAGCGAACCCTCTGTTGAGGGTTGCTACGACTCCACCTTCCCGTACGAAAGTTGCCGCAAAATGAGGTGATTTTTGAAGCCACATGCAGTATTTTGGTCCTATGATGAATTTTGCCTTTCGCTCATACCCAGGAAAACAGACCCACAAAAAAATCCAGCCCCCCCCCTTACTTTTCGATCTGATGTTGATTCGTTCAAATTTGAATTTGAATTCAATGCTCGAAAAAATGTATGAATTTAATTTATCGCTTCAATTTAATCAGAAGTCAATTTCGCTTCTTAATATCCGCTATTTTATGGTTGCTATTTTGTCATTTGGAAGAAATCGACGTCTGAGAAACGTTGCCGAAGATAGCAGAGGAATGCTTTCGAATTTAAATAAAAGGATGGCGTTTTAATGTTTGCTTCTTTCAGTCTTTGTTACATCAATTTTCATCAAGTTTCCTGTAAAAAAAAAACACGAAATAATGCGGGGATCAAAGCTGTCTCCGTCTGAATCAGATTCAAGATATACGGTTTCAAAATTGTCTGGTTGTTTTTTTTTGCTGAAATGTAAATTGAAGGAAGGAACGAATTGTGACTGAGCGGAAAATCCCACATGCCCTAAAAATGAAGAACGCAAATATTATTTCCTCAAAATTTGCTGCTTCCTTTGATTTTTCTCTATATTTCATTATCAGCGATTTCACACTAGAATCTTTCTCCGTGAAAAAGGCAATACATTTTTGCCTGTTTTATGACGGTGGAAAAACGCCTAATTTTCTGAGCAAAGTTTGGCATTGAAATATGAATTCAACTTGTCACACATGCCATGCGTTTGCATGAGTCATGTTGCGTGTGATATGTACCAGCTTTTTTTTTCCTTCTTCTTCTAAGGTCTGATCGTTCCGTGGGTGACACGTATTCCATCATCACGGAGGATCCTTTCATGAAAGGCGATTGCGCGGAAATCAGCAGCCGCATGAACCGGAAGGATCCTCTCGCGAAAGTGCTTCCGAGAAGTTCGGATTTTCTCTCCTCGTTTCTCAGTCAACGCGGCGGCGGCTCGGGCAACTTTGATTCGATGATGGCCAGGTCAATAACGGATTCTCACGACGATCCCGACGATCGAGGTCATCTTTTCGGTGATCAGTTGATGGTGACGCAAGACTTTTCTGCGGGTCGCACGTCCAAAGACTTTGAAACGTTGCAACAGGCTTCACTCGCTGTTGACGCGACAGCCATGAATATTCGGGAGCTGGCTGACGAGATTTCGAAGCCACCGGACGCCAGTCGTTCCCATGAATTTTTAGATGGCTTGAAAAAGGTTATTTTTACTCATATCAAGCCTTTTTTTTACTTCACACAAATGTTCCTCAATCCAATAAAAAATAATAATTATGGTATTTTATAGTAATTAAGGTAAAATTCCAGTCACCTGGCTTAGATTGCTGGACTCATTGAGAGTAACATTTGAACTACTTGAGTAGTTTCTGCTGGAGGCAATTTTTTTTTCATCATTCATCTTAAATCTGGTATTCATTTTTTTGCATTATTGTTAAAATTGGTGCATTGCCAGAGCACCTTCTCTTGTGTCCAGCATTTGATACTGATAGAAATGAGCTTAAGAAAGATTCACAAGTATTGGAATTCAATGAAGAGGCCTTTTCTGAAATCATGGAGGATCAAGATAATTGGTTGGCCTTACATGATTTCTCATCAAAGATTCTCTCTAAAATGTTCATTCCACTGAACCTTATCTGGGAACAGGCTGAAGACCTTATGCTCTAAATTGGGTTCAGTAACTGCTGCAATTGCTTCACTTCTGGCTTATGCTGAAATTCTTGTTACTGATATTTTGTTGTCAGGGAAAGAAGGGGGTGTATGCATACACATCAGTTGTGCAGTTGTACATTGTGGAATGTATTTTCTTTTATTTTGGTATCCATATATACAGTTTTTTGGATGGGGAAATGTTGATTGAACTTCGTGAACGCTGAAAAGCAGAAAATGAAGCTTTCTGTTTGTTCATTCATTCATTAAATTGTTTGAATTCACCTTGAAATATTAATGTTTTACTGATTCAATAAACATGATAATATCTTAATACTGTACCTAGGAATTATTGCCAGGATTTTGTTTGAGTGCAATTATAATCAACTAACTGTCTTCTCTTTCCTAATGCCAGAAATGTTGCCAACTAATATTGAAAATCGACTTGACAGCTAGTAAGAGGCACGAAAAATGCGTGTTCATGTATTCCAGAATTTTAACTGCATAAATAAAATCCTCATGGATTTAAGTTCATCTTCTACAATACCTTTATATTTTCTACAGGTTATCCAGAGAATCGGAACTGCCTACGATGACCTCGTTCAACCCGCAGAGTTGAGTTTCAAGTTCGCAGATTTCTACCAGCCTCCATTGAATATGGAATGTCACTTTTCTCCTCATGCAACTTTGCTCTTGGTCGGTCCAGACGATGCTGGAAAATTGAATTTTGCAATCGAGAGCTTCCTTACGGAAGAGTCAGTGGCACGGGAAGTGCGAAAATGGTGAATTTTATAATTGATTAAATTTATTGTGATTGATTTCAGCGTCGTTAAAATATTGAATAATTTTTTAAAATTAGAATCAGACTATAGGCTAGGAGACATTCGAACGGATCAAATCCATATGCTGTCGTCGATGATATATTCATTCTTAATTACCAATTTTTTTTTTTTTTTACTTACGGATTTTTCATACGCTCAATTTTAGTGTCCGTGACTCTTCGTACCTTGATTATCTAGACCAGAGTTACATGTTTTTTTTTTGTATTTGAGAATAATTTCCGCGTACCTCGTATGTGAGTAATTTGCTTTTCTCCAAGGTTTGCACACAGCGGAAGTGGATCGAAAAAGGACGTCCTCGTTTTAACTCACGGGAAGCGTAATTGTTTGGTCGGAAAAGTAGATTCAGCGCCGTTCCAGTCTTCAGAAACTAAAAAGATAGTCGCTGACACCTTGTCACAAACTCAAACTGCGAAACAAGCTGTCATTTTATGCTGCAAATCCGACGCATTGATCAATGTGACTCTGTTTTGCCTCAGAAGCTTCCGGTGAGAAAGAAATTCATTCTGAAATCTAACCTAAAAGCAAAGATTAATTCAAAAGTTCCGTCACCCTCGCTTTTCCTAATACTGTATTGTGAAATTCATTTTTTTATTTCGTTCAACTCCATTTCATGTTTCATGTTATTATTCTTAATTTCATTCAATGTTATGCTGCAAATCTGAAACATTGAGTAATGTGACTCTCTTTTGCCTCATCAGAAGCTTCTGGCGAGAACAACATTCATTCTGAAATCTAATCTAAAAAAGGAAATATTAGTTCAAAAGTTCTGTTGGGGTCAGTTCTGTCACTTATATGTCATGCCATTTTATATTTTATATTTTGATTCTTGATCCTAAACGGCGATTTATTCTAATTAATCAAAAATTACATATATAAAATCATCATATACTTCATCATCACATGCTCATGATCAAAAGCTCTAAATTGTACAGTACAGTATTTAAAATTATAAAAGAATAAAATGTGAATGAAAATTTGTGAACAGTAATGTATTTACTTGAGTACCACATGCCCTCAAGTAAGACGCCCACAGGGGTTTTTCAGTTGGAAATTTTGCAAAAATCTTATCCCCAAGTGAGACGCAAACCCAAATTTTTAGTGAATCCAAAACCAGAAAATTTGAAAATAAAAACAAAAAATTTGACTTCAGGCATGAATTGAGGAAAAATCTGATCAATTTTCAAATTTTTCAGTACAAAAAAGTTTTCTTGTTATATTTATTCCAAATTTCTCAATTATGATTAAGTATAATGCACACATAACTTCCTAAAACTTCTTGAAAAATGTGTACCCATTTATGATGCGCACCCCCTTTTTTCTTGTGAAATTTGAGAAAAAAGGTGCGTGTGGTAATCGAGTAAATATGGTATTATAAATAATGTAAGTTTGTGTTGTTTCTGAAACTGTACATTAGATTAGAATCTAATAATCTCGAATATTTATAAAATTTGGCAAATTTGGGTTTATTTAGAGCAGGGTCATTAGATGAATCCCAGCAGAGCTCTGTGGAGCAAAGAGCCGAAGACACCAAACAAGATGGAGTCAAGAATCCTGCCTACAGCGACCCAGCCCTCTTACGAACGTTTCGCATTGCCAAATCAGTCGACAAAATTTGCGTGTTCGTTAACCTCTGCAGCCGTGTGCCGAATCTCGGCCCAGATTTCTTTCATCTCTTGGACTGTCTCAGCACTTTTCGGCACAAGGCTGCGTTTGTGGCTGGGGCAAATTTGCCAATCCATCGATTATCGCAATCGCCGAGCTCCAAGTCTTCCACTGCAAATTTCCTGTACGTTGCTGAACAAACAGCGGATTTGAGCAGTTCGGCGGGTGTTGAGCAAACTTACCGAACTCTGACGCGCGAAGGTTACGAGTTGTTCGCTTATGCAGTTTCTCGAAGCTTTGCCAATTGCACGCCGCTGATTTTCGTCACGTTGAACAAGCATTGGCTGCCGGGCTCAGGTTCGATGGAGAGTTTCGAGAGGATCGGCACTAAATTCGATTTGAAGAAGTTTCTGGGGATCGAAAGAAGTGTTCT